ATTTAAACAAAGTGACCCACAAAGATGTCTACCCTTTGCCTCGGATTGATGACGCCCTCGATTGCCTCCATGGTGCCCAATACTTTTCGTGTATCGACCTTCGGTCCGGCTATTGGCAAATTTCCGTCGACCCCATGGATCGTGAAAAAACCGCTTTCGTTACGCTCGATGGCCTCTACCAGTTCAAAGTCATGCCGTTTGGACTGTGTAATGCGCCGGCAACTTTCGAGCGCATGATGGACTCCCTTCTCCGAGGATATAAGTGGTCCATCTGCTTATGTTACTTAGACGATGTCATCGTCTTTTCACCTACCTTTGACAGCAATATAACACGTCTGTCAGCCGTTCTGGATGCTTTTCGAAGAGCTGCTCTCCAGCTCAATTCTGCAAAGTGCCATTCCGGACGTCGCCAAATCACCATACTCGGCCACCTTGTCAGTGCCGATGGTGTTCAACCAGATCCCGAAAAGGTGCGAGCAGTACAACAATTTACTGAACCACGCTCAACCAAGGACGTCCGAAGTTTTGTAGGGCTATGTTCCTATTTTCGTCGATTTGTCCGCAACTTCGCCGACATCGCTCGACCGCTTACTGATCTCTTAAAGAAGGTCGTTCCCTTCGCATGGGGTATAGAGCAAGCGGACGCCTTTTCGGCTCTTATTCATCTGCTGACTACGCCACCAATACTGGCTCATTTCGACCCAGTATCACCTACAGAGCTTCGGACCGATGCCAGTGGCCATGGAATTGGAGCGGTCCTTGGCCAACGACAGCACGGGTAGGACCGCGTGATTGCTTATGCCAGTCGTCTTCTTTCACCTGCCGAACGGAAGTTCTCCATCACTGAGCAAGAATGCCCAGCTTTAGTGTGGGCCATGGCGAAATTCAGGCCTTACTTGTATGGCCGAACTTTTTCCGTTGTTACGGACCATCACGCTCTTTGCTGGCTGTCATCGCTAAAGGACCCATCTGGACGTCTTGGTCGCTAGGCGCTCCGTCTGCAAGAATACTCATTCGTGGTCCACTACAAGTCGGGACGCCTCCACACAGACGCAGACTGTTTGTCACGTTATCCGGTTGAAACGGCCGACTTGACAGACCTTGATTCAGATTCCTGCGTTCTCTCCATCCACGCCTTGGGTGATATCTCCACCGAACAACGAAGTGACCCGTCGTTACTCTCCATCATCGAGCGTTTCACCTCTGCTCCAACAGACTCTTCCGTTCGCCTGTTCAAACTGCACGACAACATTCTGTACCGTCGCAGCTTCAACGCTGATGGCCCGGAATTACTACTCGTGCTTCCCCATCACCTGCGTGCCAGCATTCTCGAGCAACTACATGACGTACCTACAGCCGGTCACCTAGGCGTCTCTCGTACCTACGGTCGTGTGCGACGTCGCTTTTTCTGGCCCGTACTGTATCGTTCTGTGGTTCGCTACGTCACTGCTTGCGACCGCTGCCAACGCCGCAAGCGCCCCTCTGTGCTACCGTCTGGCCTCCTACAGCCCATTGACATACCGACAGAACCATTCTTCTATGTTGGCCTTGACCTGTTAGGCCCGTTTCCTACGTTCACCTTTGGAAATAAATGGGTTGCAGTCGCCACAGACTATGCCACACGCTTTGCCATCACTAAAGCACTGCCGACAAGCTGTTCCACTGACGTGGCTGACTTTCTCTTGTATGAAGTCATTCTTCATCACAGCGCTCCGCGGCAGCTGCTTACTGATCGAGGAAGGTACTTTTTTTCACGTGTTGTGGATGACATTCTCCGCGCCTGCTCCACTGAGCACAAGCTTACTACCGCTTATCATCCACAGACAATTGGATTGACCGAGCGTCTGAACCGAACGCTGACGCAGATGCTGTCAATGTACGTTTCGCCAGATCACCGCGACTGGGACAAAGCACTCCTCTTTGTCACGTTCGCGTACAATTCTTCACAGCACGACACAGCTAGTTATTCGCCGTTTTATTTGCTATTTGGCCGACATCCAGCATTACCATTTGACACGCTCCTTTCCTCGGCTGCCCTCTTGTCTACTGAGTACGCCAGCTATGTCGTTTCTCGAGCCTATGCAGCCCGTCAGCTTGCTCGTGATCGGCTGCACTTGTAGCAAGCGCATGAAAAAGACCGCTATGACAGTCGCCACCAAAGCGTGCACTTCTCGCCGGGGTCTCTGGTACTTTTCCGGACACCAAACCGCCAAGTCGGCTTATCAGAGAAGCTACTATCACACTACCATGTCCCCTACAAAGTGTTACGACAACTTAGTGACGTGAGCTACGAGATCGCACCCTTAAAGAATGCCTCTTCGACCACCTCACTCCAGACTGAAACATTGTACACGTTTCCAGACTGAAACCATATCGCCCTCCTCGTTCGTCGCCGCCGTACTAAGCGCCGTGACCGTGCTTCCGCCGCAGGGGAGTGATGTTACGGTGCATCATCGACAGGAGCAAGTGTGGCACTTAGCGAAGATGAAGACGCCCGTGCGTTAAGCGCTTGTGCGAGAGGCAACTCAGACATCTTGTTCGGCTGCCGATTCTCGGTGGACGCTATTCTGTAAGCCAAGACCTCGCCCCGTCACAATACGTACAATTCTGCCTCTGAGGACGATAATAAAGTTTCAGGACTGTGCTTCCGCCGTCGGGGGTCATGCTACGTACGAGTAGCATAGCGATTCAGATAATGAAGAGGAGGATGAAAGCGGACAGACTGGCACGAGCTAATCTGGTGGCTGGCGCTCCTCACTTAAAATGTATCCGTGTCTACTCTTCCGAGTTGGTCTCCTTCTCATAACAATGTTTAGAGTAATACGTATATTAGTCTAACAGGCCAATTTAGTGTCCGTTTTCTTTCAGAAAAATTTGTTGCCCTTCCCCCATTGCAACAATGCTGGCAAGCAAAGCTTGGCTTTGCCTGATCTACTTTTTTTTCTATTTACTCTGCAATGCTCCCTCCTCATTTCTTCCTTCTTCCTTGGCAAGAATCGGATGTACACACATATACTTAGCAGCACAACACTTCTGCTGCAGTCAATTGTGAAAGTCATGCATGAATCAATGAAATGCTACATTAAAATGCAACGGAATTGTGTAATGGAACTTATTCCATTCAGAACTGTGAAATAAGTGATCTTATTAAAAAGATATGATAGTTCTCATTAATATTGTGTCTTACAAAGAAAAAAACGAGCACTTAAAATTTCCCCTCCTTTACCTTTTTGATAAAAGATCGCATATATATTTAGAAAATGGCTGATCAACAAGCCCACAATCAAGAGAGCATTATTTCCTGGAAAATGGTGCGTACAAATGCAGTAAACCTCATATAACGAAATATCTGTTTTAACGAAGTAGTTGAAAAATATTCTTGCAGTATACAGTCGGACCATGCTAGAACAAAACTGACGGGGCGTGGAAAAAATTTCATTGAAGTGAAAATTTCATTGTAGTGAAATCGAAAGAAAATATAGCTGACCTGAGCTAGCAAAACAAACAACACTTTATTGCTAAAATTCGCAAAGTGTCTGCTGCTTCTTTTTTTTTTTTCGATGCGATTCTCAAACATGCATAGTAAAAATAACGGCCACAACAGCTTTCGTAAATGAACCTAGCAGTTGCACTGACACACTTACACCAGCAGCTGTCCGCTGTCAAAAGGTAGATATCTGACAACGTTGTGATGCAGGCGTGGTATGTGGAGGAGTGACTCATGCCTTATTCTTTACTATTTTTATCATCCACTAGCAGGGGCTAGCTTATGTTTTCTCGACGCCCAGGTGGGCGTCGAGAAAAGGCAGGTGGCACAAAGCGCAACAGCCTGAAGGTCTCCGTTCTCAGGAAGCCAACGCACACCAGCCGCTACCTTCAATATGATTCATCCCATCCTTCCTGCCACAAGACCTTGGAAAGGTGGCAAGAAAGCGCAACAGCCTAGAGTTCTCGGTTCACAAGAAGCCAATGCACACCGGCCGCTACCATCAATATTATTCATCTCATCCCGCCTGCCACAAGGCCTCAGTTCTGACCACATTACTCCAAAGGGCCAAGAACATATGCTCCAATGACACAAAGCGAAAGAGAGGTTCGCGTAATTGCGGACCTCAGAAGAAAACGGATACCCAAAAAACTTCATTCGAGCCGCAATCCATCGCGCAGAGCAACAGAGGATGCGAAAATCCCAATAAGCATTAATTGGCAGACCTACGAAACGCGTACCGGTCTCATACGTCCAGGGAACCAGCGAGATGTTGGCGCCAGTCTTCAAAAAAAGTGTTTGCATCATGCACGTGCCTTCGTGTATGCTGAGCCGCCTCCTCCCCCGCCCGAGAAACCGGCCAACGATGGACAGGACCCCGGTGTCGTTTACAAAATTCCGTGCGTCGAGTGCCCTTTTTTGTATATCAGCGAGACAAAAAAACCTACCGGAACGACGCAAACAACACGCCAACGACGTGCGGAAGTTCTACCAAGAGTGCAGCGCAGTCGCCAAGCATGCTGAGACGTTGGACCACCGGATAAATTTCGATGCAATGACCATCCTTGAAAGCGAGACTAACTGGAGGAGAATGTTACTACTCGAGTTGTGGCATATACAGCGAACGGCCCAAAACATCAACCGCTCTCTTGGAACCCCTCCCCAACCGCCCCGCGAGTGCTTTGATAATGCCGCTGCTACGTAGTCCCAGTCCCCCCTGAGGAAGGAACCAAGTCGGTTCCGAAACGTCGGGTTTCTTCACGAACTTTTGGTCGGAGTTTAAATCATTTCCGGAGATGCAACTTTGTTATAATGAAGTTTTAGTATCATATATGTGACCGGCACAACTTTGAAAGCGTAACTTTGAACACCTTCAAGCTATGCTGCTGGTGGTAGTGGCATAGCTTTCTATTTATGCGACTACAACTGAAATTTGCAACTCATAAAAGGTTTGGTTAAAGTGCTGCTGAAATCGGCGATTCCACAGTGCACGGGTTCATCTTGCTTTGTGCAGATCTCGTCCCAGCAAAGTGGACTTGGATGTGCTGAGGGCCCTGGAGCCAAGTCTGTTGGCGCCAGATGTGTTCGACCCTCTCACCTATCCTTGCGTGCACCAGTGGATGCAGGTTATTCGCTCATTTCCTGTGGAAGCCACTTCAAGGTGAGCTTGTGTACTTGAAGAAAGTACCTACAGTTGTGTAAGACAGTGTCCAGAAAATGGCATGCAGTGAAAAAGTAATTGCGTGATAATGACAGTAAGCACTGCACCACATTGTTATCTAATAAGTGTATGCAACGATAGCAATGGTCCCGTATCTGCATTTAATCTGCAAATGTCGTAGAAAGACGATAGTCTTGCGTGTGGAGAGAGTGAACAAAACATTTATTTGATGTTCTGCTCAAGAAAATCGTCGAATGGTATTCTGGAGACGCTGCGTTAGAGTGCCTCGAGCGTGCAGCGGAGGCGAACGAGCGCATCAAGTCACGTCACACGTGAGACATGAGCGCCATCTGGCAGTTTTTTTCAAAAACAAAGCGCATGGCTCTGAGACGGGTGTGCGCGCCCGCCTCAGAGGTGATAAGTTGTCGAACGCAAAACGACGGGTAGGTGCCACCACCGTCTCGTTTTAGCAAATTGTTGGAAACACTCGCCTTTCCGTGCAAGCGTTGGTTGGGCAGCGCAGCTTGATAAGCGCTACGGTCCTTAACATTACTTATGTATGCTTTTTCTAGTAAAAGGCGCACATGCAGAATATATACGTGTTGTTATTGTGCCCCAGACACACGCAATAATTGCTTTTTAATCGACCATTGCACAAGTATGAATGCTGAAACTTGAGCAATATAGATGGGCGCTGCGGATGGGGTCGGCTGTTTCAAATACCCGATGCTGTTAAGAGTGGGCAGACAAATGTACAGACAGACCAAAATTTTTGCGTCGAAGGTTCCCAAGAAAGAATATCGTCTTTAAAAAACATAGCATAACATTTCTTTGGGTGACTTGCTTTGAGACTGTAAAGGAAAGACAGTAGTGCTAAGGAGATTAAATAGCGTACTTGCCCAATTTCAACATGCACTTTTTGTCGGGATCAGTAGGCCTTAAAATCGCATGTGCATTGGATTTGGGCACAAGCCAAAACTGCCCCACAGCTGCCTATCGTCTCTGCGATTATTTGGTGTGACTGTTAATTATTCATTATTATTTATTTGTACATACTGCAATAACAATTTGTTGTTACTTTCTACATTGCACGTTGTGCGGTCTGTCAGCTATCTTGTTCAAGAATGGGTGCAGCAGCCACAGACTCGTGTCTGCCATGAGAATCGCTTTAAATGTTGTATGCGGTAGAGGACGGCAACAGGAGTAGAGCCCATCATTTTATCGTGCAAGAGACTTGCATTCACCACTGGTAAAAGCTGAAAGAGTATCTTCAACTGTAAGCCTTCAAGTAAAGGCCCCTACGCTTCGCAAGCATGGAGACATTTAGATCTTGTACGTGGGTTGGCAAAGGAACAAAATGTCTGCACGTTTCGTTCATGAAAATCACATGCACATTAGAATCAGGGCATGCAGTAGTTGTTTTTGGGTTATGTAAATTGAATGAATGTTGGAATTGGGGGCGCATTGGAATCTGATAAATATGGTAAGTAAGCACTTCTTTCACTTCCTCATCTTGCCCCCATTTCTTTTGCACCACTCTATCATATGTCATGTGTGCACAGAAAACGACTGTTGCTGTTAACCACACGGCTTTGGTTCCTGAAAGGGGCCCTGAAACACTTTTTCAAGTAGCCATGGAATGGATTCACTACAATAACTTATTGCTTTACGAATTCAATGCCGCAAAAATTTTGAGAATTCGTCCAGTGCGAGCGGAGTTACCAAGATATGTCGCATGCTGCGAATGCATTCTCTATTCTCTCGTGCCAACGAAAGTGCTGGAAGCTAAGCAGGGAGGGATAGCAGGGGTAAAAAAATGTCACATGCGCCTCGTTATCATGAGAGCTGTTTTCTTTTTTTGTCTTCGAATACGGGGCTTTTTCAGTGTGATTGCTTGCGCGCACGGGTGGACAAGTCGCGGCCTCCCGCGGCGATTCTTGTAACAACCGAGCGCGCCATGTTCAAATTTACCAATGGCTGATAGATGGCCTTCTACAAGTGATTATTTAGCGTCTTCTGCCATTTGTCGAGAAAAGAGAAAGCAATTTTTAGCTGACTTTGATAATTTATTGTGAATTTTATACCGCGTGCTGCGCTGTAATATTTAGCTCGCGTGTTATTGGGAGTCCCTGGCACCAATCGGAAGCGTTGTCCGACTATGCTCAAAAAGTGTTGCAGGGCCCCTGAAGGCTTGTGCGCAAGATGATGCAACTTGGGCACTTGATCTGAAAACTCATTGTAACTCCTCGCTTTCCATACCTGTTATTAAATCACGGCATCAGACTTTTTCTGCAGGGAGTTGTTGAAATGGAAATGATATGACTGAGAGTATCCCCTCTCTTATGCCTCCTACACTACACTTCTGTGCATCTCTTTGCTTCAGCATCGTCAACAGAAAGCAGACTTGCTTGCGCTTGGGTTTGTTGGTTTGGCATTGTGGTATGTTCTAGCATGGAGATGCACATGCATGTATTTTTTTATACTTATGGCTCTGCAACTCTTATCAGGTTTTTAGCAGGATGGAATACAGTACATGAAAGAAAGTACAACATAATGACACTAAATATGCATACAAAGGTTACAGTAAAAAAAACAAAGAAAAACACATTCAGGTTCAGTTATTCAATAAAAAAATTTGCAAACAAAATTGTAACAGGCAACACAGATGTATAATAATACACACAGTCATCTCGAAAATAACTAATTACCGTATTTGCTCGCGTAAAGCTTTGCACTCGCATAATCAATGCACCCCCAACTTCAGTCGTCAAAATTTTGGTTGTTTTTTTCTACCGCGTTATAAACACGCCCCCTAAGTTCACCTGTTGCAGTCCTGCCAACTGATTCATGGCGCCTCCTTGCCCAATAGATCTCTTCTGTTTTTTATTATTAATTATTATCCCGACCCACCTCGGCTCACTCCCTCCTTCCGTTCGCCCGCTGCCGCGTGCCGTATTGTTTGTTTGTTTTTTTCATCTGTGCGCCGCACATCCCCAGTCATTTTAAGTTGTCTATGCACCACAAAGGTTTTCACGAATGGTTCGAGTGTGGAGACATTACAGCTAATGCGTACAGAGTGAGCGAAGGTCAAGAAACTGCCCGCACCTACCGACGGTCGCTTCCTGCAAATGTGAAACTTAACGCCCAACTGCATGCAGTCAATTTTCGAGCGACGATGATGGGATTTGCGATCGCCATGGCGGTCGCGAAGGGCCATTCATCACCATTGCATCACAGGTTTCTTGAAAACTAAAAAAAATAAATTGCTTCTCACCCAGACAAGATCGTGACTATTTCTGCAACGTGGTAGCATCACCGATTTTCACTTCAGTTGCAATGTGCTCTTTTTGCTTGTTATCTGCGCGTACTTCAAGGAACACAATGATATCGGCTACCATTTCTATACAGTCAAACCTCTTTAGTACGTACGTGCTTTAAGCGCACTAGCAGTCAAAACATAGTTGAGACGAATCCCCGACTGAGTCGTACAGAGATTAATAATGCATTTGCAGACTGCTTAAGCCAAAGTGTTCGTCTTATGCCTACCAATTAGTGCGTACTAACTGCGTACCACAATAAAATTTTGTGCCGCTGAACTTGCACATGCCACAATATGCCGCGAACGTTTTTCCGTTATGTTGATAAGTGCGGAGATCAGCCGATCTGCAGTCATTCCGACTTCCGCGCGATTGCGGCAATGACTTTACGAGTAATCAAAGCGAAAAAAAAAAATGCCCCCATTTCCCCGAAGGGAATTGTAAGGAAATGCAAATGCATTACTTGCACCGAGAGAGGGTATCGTTGCCGTCAGATCTTCGCCTTCACCAACTGATGCCATCGCCTTGAGAAGCACCCGGCCAGTGAATGGTCGAAAGTGAGGAGCGAGCGGACGGAAGAGAGGGGCGCAGGGACAAGAGATAACGAACGACGAGAAGAGTGGCGAAGCACTGTACCACGGCCGCTGGATAAAAAACAAAGTGGCTGTGACTGCTCATACCCTCGCCTGCACTCTCTCCCACCACATGCTCTGGTTGCTAGGGGAGAGGATAAGCGTGCACTCGTAGCTGTTGCTGTGGGAGAGGAAGTGAGAGCGGAGAGATAACACCTGCCGGCGCGCGGACAACGCCGGATGCCAGTCATAGCCTGACAAAGAAATCGATTTGCATTTAAAATGAAGGAGAGGTGGCGACCACTGACAAAAGCGTTGGTAAGGCTTATCTCTGAAGAAAAGCTTTGTCACAATAAGCATCCCCGGCTATCTTCTCGTGCGTGTGCATGTGGCGTAGCGCCACTTCAAGCCTACTGCATGCTTTTAGTTAGCGACTACCTGAAAGCATTGAGCCGCTGATCACTGCCGCTTTGTTGTGCGGCACCGTATTCAAGAGTGCACCGCTTTACAGAAATGCAAGCAGCTTGCGGTCGTGGAGTTTGGCGCTGTGGTTTGCGGGCACCCAGAAATCTTGCTGTAGTATGCTAACATGCGCACCATACAGCAAGCATAGCGTTTTTGTAACCATACTGCCCGCACTTATTTAGCGACAGCCCAAGGCGCCTGCGTTGGCTACCAGGACTGCTAGAGCATCGCGAACAGTGCATCGCTTGCAGAAAGCTCTTCGTCGCTGCCACAACACAGGCTACTGGCTGCATCTGTGCGTGGATCGGCAGTCATGTGTGCGGATTAGGCGAAGCGCTGCATGCAACCACCCATGCGGTAAACGATTTGTCTCTGTGCGACCGTATCACTTAAAGAAAAAGCGTCAGTTTTCATTTAAAAGCAGACTGCGTACCTCGTGTATCATGGACTGTCGATATGTCCACTCTGTTGCTGTACCGCGTGCGTAACAGGGACCCTGCGGTAGTTTCGAAATGTTCCTGGCCTTGCCACAGCATGCTGCCGGGCGGTTGTGCGAGAGTGACAGAATCTTTTCTGTACTTCAGCAAAAAGAAAGAAATGGCTTTGTGGTGGGCACTTTAGGCAGTATTTCCTGTCGTGCTGATTTTATTCCTTTGTTGACGGCAATGATGCATGTCAGAAGGTGCAAATTTGCATTGATGCGTAGTGCGCTTATTGCTTGTTACGCCGCCGTCTTCGCCAGGTACGTATTAATGGTGTTTCACTGTAGTATCTTCTCATGTGGACGGCGAGGTGGCGGTCATATTTTATCGTTAATCTTGTTATCGACGGTTTGTTTTGATGCTTCAGTGGTAGCTTGCTGCAATGTTGTTTACTTGCTACTATGTCAATGGCGCCATTGCGGTCGTCGTGCGAGGATGCCGCGAAGTTGGCAAAAGGCGTCGTAGCACACGTTTATGGGCACCCATTGAGACCACACCAGATACCACTGTTGCGGTTAAACGATTGCGAGAAAAGATAGCCACGAAACGCTTTTATGTTAAGTGCGGGCGTGGCGGGGACAGCTTGCAAAAAATGGCGCAATCAACCACTCAAAATGAGTGATGTGCAACAAAGAAGCTGTTTTTAAGCAGTGTACGTGTATGTCAATTGCAAAAAACAGCAACGTAACTTTTTTTTTTGCATTACCGCATTTTTGCTCATCCAAAAAAAAAATTTTCCACAAAGTTTGCTCCGCAAATTAAATGCACCCCCAAATTTGCTGCGATTTTTCGAGAAAAGAAGTGCGTTCATTATGTGAGTAAATACGGTATGTTTCAGGCATTAAGAAGGGATGAAAATGGTGACCAAGAATTGGTCTGAACAATGGAGCTGCTGAGGTTATTTTAGTCTCCGAATCCCCGCTGTGGTGGCCACATTTTGATAAAGGCAAAATGCTAGAGGGTTATGTGCTTCGATAAAGATGCACATTGAAGAACCTAACGTAGTAGAAAACAGCATAGCTCTCCAAAAATTGGGGGACCCCTAATCTTTGCATTTAAGAATTGAACGCAATAGGGATATTCTGTTCCTAGTGCGTACTTTTAACACATAGTGAATGACATCTTCTTGAACTTGCTATGCAACCGCTACGTGGCCTTAAGGGTGCAGTAGCATGTGTGCCTTTTGTGGTGGGTGACTGACTTTAAACTGTGCACTCATTATGATAATCCAATATTCTGATGCCCGATGGCAATGCACGCTTGTACCACGCTTTAATACAGCAAGCTCATGTTGCATTGTGAACCATGTCTACATGACGCGTGTGTTTTTTAAGCATGAAAGTTGCTTTCACTACATTTCCAACTGGAGGAAGTTTTTGTGAGTGTACACAAGCAGAGGCGTAGCTGTGTGGTAGAACACCCACTTGCCTTGCAAACGACCTGGGTTCAATCCAGACGCAGACCCAAAATTTTTATTATTTTATTTGCATCTTTTTCTATTTTCTGGTCTTGCAAAGATGCTTGATTTTTCGCTCACTACCGACGATGCCAACGCCGGAATTTCTGCAAAATGAGCTCTTTAACGTTATCGCATTAATATGGAATCTCTCGTAATATAGTGCTTTCTGCATGTAAAACCTCAACTATTATAACAATTATATTTTCTTGTGTGTCCATTCTTGAATTTAACTTGGTTAAAGAGTCAGCTTTGAGCCTTTTCCCTCTGTTGAAATGTTGACTGAATTGAAAATTTCAGTAGCATGCATTCATTGAGCAACGATCTCAATTCATCGCAGATGGCCGAGTCCTACGGTGACGAACCTGAGGCTCACCGTGCGCACGGTATTATCGCCAAGCTCTCCATGTTCCAGTGGAGATGGCAAGTTTGACGGATGCCGCACTCCGCAGAGGGAATCGTTGAGCACTCAACTGCGCCCAAAAGTGCTTTGGAGTGGCAGTCCGAGGCACCCATGATATTACGTACCTGCTTTTGCTGGAGCCCAGTGCCAACTTATTTGCTTTTGTCGGCAAATACATTTGATCAAAGTGAAACCGGTGGCAGGGTCAGCCATCTGGGCATTCTGGTGCACATACGCACACCTCCGGAAAAAGTGCAGTGCCTCGGGACTTTTGACGGCCTCAACGATGGGGTACAGTTTTAGAAGATGACTTGTAATTTGTAATTTATTTAAACGATTTTTAGAAATGTTGTGTAAACCTGATAATATTCTGTCTGCCAAGCTCCAAGTGTACCGCTTCTAACATACGTGTCTTACTGTGATCGCTTGATAATGTCGTAAAGACAAATCAATGTGCGTAAGCTTTTTAGCATGGAGTGGTTGTTGCTTCAGTGCTACACTCCGATATTACGAAAACGATTTGGCGGTGCCTGCTCTGTGCTCTTGGGGCAAACAAAAACAGAAGCTCTAAGGGGGCTGCTTCAACAAATTGTCCAAAATAGCTTGGAAAAGGAAGGGAAAAGGCGGGAAAAATGAAATCTTAAATTCTGTTCAGGAAATCTTGTCAATGTTGGCTTTTAATTACTGTGTACACTTCCTTATTGCATTTACCATTTATATATTATTTATTTTTCAAAGTATTTCAGAATGGGAGGACTCAATGTTGTGATGCTGTATGCAGTATGTTGCAGTGCACATATCAAGCTGCTTTTACATTAGGCTGCACTTCATGCTCAACTTCCACCAATTCTGAGCAGTGATGGAAGTTCTGTTCCAATCGCTCCCCACTGCTCCAAAAGAGAATTTCCGCTCCGTGCTGCTCCAAGCAGTAATGTTTGTTAGTAATTGCTCTAAAGCTGCTCCGAAATGACACGGGTGGTATGAGAATGACACATTTACTGTTTGACCAACTCGTAAGTCCTAAAGAAACTGAAGATAATCTGTTTACAGTAGACTCTCAGTAAACGGAACCTGAAGGGACCGGGAGAATGTGTTCCACTTAACAGGAGTTACGTTTACCAATAGGTGAACATGGGTGCAGAATACAAGCCCATAACCAAGCATTGCAGAGGCAATAGTTTCGTTTAAGCAGTAGTTCTGTTTAACAGATTTCCATTTACAGAGAGTTTACTGTAGTATCATCCTAGTGTGCTCTGTAGCATTATCGGATGGTATCTCATTTGTGTGAAAAGAATTGGCGTATTAAGTATATAGTTCAATTGTATTTTTTTTCATAGCTTGATTGATATGTAGGGTTTAACGTCCCAAAACCACCGTATGATTATGAGAGACGCTGTAGTGGAGGGCTCCGGAAATTTCGACCACCTGGGGTTCTTTAACGTGCACCCAAATCTGAGCACAGGGGCCTACATTTCCACCTCCATCAGAAATGCAGCCGCAGCAGCTGGGATTCGAACCCGCGACCTGCGGGTCAGCAGCCGAGTACCTTAGCCACTAGACCACCGTGGCGGGGCTCTCACAGTTCCTGGGCAGATACTAAATGTCAATAACCTATGGCACATACCCGCATACCAGTGGCACATATCCGCCCGCGGGTATGTGCCACTGTTTGGCGCGAAGTGTTTGTTGACGTACGGGATGGGATTGTGACGTTATTCAGACCTTGACAAGCCACTAGACCACCGTGACAGGGCTTTTTTTTTTTTTTTTTTTAAGCTAGACATGCAGGCTAATGTAGTAAAATGTGAAAATTAACAGGATCGCTTAAATCTCATACCGATCATCTGCTGTTTATTTGACAACAGTTATATGAGACTGCACGCTTACTTCTAAAATGTGGCGCTCAGCTTCTCTGGTTTGATTTGATTTCTTCCACAAATATTTTAGTATTTTAAATTGTAGCTCATTTCACAGCACATTTTGATTACCTGCTTGGGATGTAAAAGCAGCGCAAAATATATAGACAAGGACAGAGGAAGAGACGACAATGCGCTGACAGGAAGAGACGGCAGTGCGTTGTCGTCTCTTCCTCTGTCCTTGTCTATATTTTTTGCGCTGTTTTTACATCCCAAGCATGAACCATCAACTAGCCCAACTTTCACTACGTGAAATTTACATTGATTGTTGCCTGTTAAATATATTTTATAAGAAACATAATATTTACGAGATGTATCAACAATTTTCTGACCGCCAAATAATGTACGGCAAATTTAATATCTGCTCCTAAGACACCAATAGCTGCCCTGAACTAGCATTTCTTTTCTGCTCCGAAAACACTTGTGGCTGTTCAGGAGCAGTGCTTTTAGTGGTGCAAAGTATGTTCCAAAAACTAAAAAGGCCGTTCCATCACTGAATTCATGAAGTCTATTTGCGATTCAGGGCTGAATATCTTTCCAAAGCTGTATGTAACGAGTCGACTCCACTTTGAACAAATGTAGATTGTGCCAGAGAGAGGGGTGCTTCTGTTGTTTGCACATCGGTAGTTATACACTGAAAACTTAGTATAGCAAAGTTGCATCTTGCATGAAAATAAGTTATATTTTTCCAAAAATTCGCTATAAAGGTATTTTTCTAATGCTATATCTATTGCTAGGTTATTTCTCATTAACTTTGTTATAACCGTTATTTCATTTTATTCGGATTCTTTATATCGAGGTTTGAGTGTAGTACTGCTAGCACACGACGAGCCAAAAGCTACAAGCATGTGCTATAGGCTGCAGCTTCTTATTAACAGTAAGTTGGGCCTGTTCCTTTCTGTAAGAAGTTGAACTGATAAATGTCTAATGCATTCTGAAGACTTATATAGCTCTCGTGTGTAAATTGCTGTATAGTTCTATCTCTTGCTCCATGCTTTTTTTGTGTGTGTGTGTGCCCAGTAAAATTTTAGTTGAAAGTGTGTTTGTGTGTTGTCATTCTTTAGCCTTTTGGCACTGTAGCATTGTTTTTCAACAAATACGTTCTCAATATATAAAAATTTTCTTCTGGAAGTTTTCCTTCTATTCACAGTTTTTGGAATTTTATGTGCAACCAGGAATTATCTCAATTGCTCCAGAATTTCTCGACGTACAATAAAATCTTGATATGATGAAGTCATAAAATTAACAATTTGCATTTCTATGACAAAATGTATGTATTGAAATGCATGCATTTTAATTTAACCTTTTGTAGAATTTATATAATGAGGTGGGTACGTGTTTGCAGGAAAGGGCTGCAAGAAATGTCTGAGAAAATGTAAGGGGATAACGCGGGGAGGAGAACAAAAATACTGTTCACAAAGGTGGTGCAGCACAGGGGGGGCTGTAAGTGCAGGTCCCGTGCACTGTGGTAATTGGTATAAGCAAAGCTGCCCTGCCAGTTTCGCCATGGTAACTTGCCAGCAAGACGAAGGTGTTGCAAGAGCGACACTGTACTGAATGCTACGTTCACTAAGCTGAATTGTTGCTGTTCACATTTTTCTGGTGAATGTGCAGTGTCTAAAGATCACCACAAGATACTGAGCTTTTCTTTCAGATGGCATAAAAGTGAGGCAACAGCCTAGATGACCATATTCTCCAATTTAGTGACTTTGCACATCTGAACTATGTTCGAAAAAATGAGCAAGATGGGCTCTTGCACTGGAGTTTACAATTGCCGCCTTGCATTTGCTCTCATCATCAGTCTGACTACACCCACTGCAGAGTAAAGGCCTTTCCCATGTTACGCGACTCAACGTGGTCCTGTGCTTGCTGTAGCCATGTTATCTCTGCAAACTACTAAACCCTTTGTATCACACAGCCAGTCCATTTGTGAATGTCAATTTTTTTCGTGTGTATATGATAATACATGTGAAAGTGGGAATGAACCGAAAACCATGACAATTTAGCTCCACATGTGTTTCTAGCATCCAAATGTGAATGCTGAGAACACTGAGAACACTAGGTCCATCATCATCGCTGCTTACCATGATCAATGCCTTCATCATTAGTTCAACATGTTCATCATTGATATAATGAGTATAAACGTTCATGCGACCACTCAATATTGGCTCTGATGCAACATTTTCATCATCATCATTGTTCATTACTGCCATCGTCGTGTTAATACTCATGTTAAACATTTTCTTTATCACCATATCACCATTCAAGGCCCATTTGCTTGCCAAGGGATCTATTTCAAGTGTTCATTATCTTCATCATCATTGATTATCACTACCAAATTACCAATACATTCGTGGTTACGTTCAACAGTAGCATCATCAGCAGTAGCATTGTTCAAGAGGCCTTTGCTTGTTGATCGCTCTGCTTCAACGTCATTATTGGTGTCCCCAAATCAGTACATTTGCTTCTGCTAGTTAGCTTGAAAATTATGCCATGTATGTCTTCATCACTTAATCCATGTCCCAAATGAAGCAAATGAATTCAAGACATAGCTTCTAAAAGGGCTATCTAGCTGTATGTTTTGTGCCTAGTTGCACAGCAATGGAGAATGTCCTACTGCTATTTTTCTCGCACAAACTCTGTGTGTTTTGTACCCACACACCAAACAAAAAAAATCACACTTCAACAGAATTTGCACAAAAACAAGATAAACCTTTTCTTTTGTTAAATAATGTGGAATATTTTAGAAACTCTTTATCTGATGATAAATGACAATAAAGAAATTATAAAAAAGTTAAGGCACTTTCGCACTAGGGGTGCCAAGCCTGTAGTGTAGAGCTGGACATCCTTTCTCTTTTTTTTTTCTTTTCTCAATTTCTTCTTTTCTGGTATTTATTTCTTTCTTGCTGCTCCAATTTTTTTATTTTTTCTTCTTTCGATTTCTCACTTCCCTTTTTTCCTGTTTGTTGCAATTTTTCGCTTAGGTTCCTGTTTTTTTCCTGTTTCTGGGTAGCGCCAAGCGTGCTAGTTCTTTTTTGCTCATGATGATAAACGATCATAATCAAGGCACTTGAGAACAAGAGGAAGACTTCTCCTTGGCTTTAGCAAGTTTTGAATATTCTGCGCATGGAGCGTTACGCCAAGCAATGACACTATACGACAGCTCTGACTGTTAAGGTGCTGCGCACTTAGAAAATGTAATGATGCATGGGCAATCTACAGGTTACTTGAGAAAACCTTCATTGTTTTGTGTGCATGTGCTGCTGCTTGCAGAAGTGGACACGTATAGCTCTCCATATAGCTTTGTGTGGACACATATAATTGTTTTTATGAAATGCTGAAACTAAATGCCAACATTTCAAATAAATTTTTAAGGCAATGAGTTAACTAGAATGATCCCACTGCGCTATGTTAGTCCACATGTGTGGATGCTGAGAGAGATAAGGCTAATCTCATCTGCCCACCTAACCTTACGCCTCTCGCTCTCACTCTTGCCTTTTCTTGTAATCCAGTTGGTTAGTTCTTAATGACCAGCAGTTACCGTGCCTTCTTGCTATGGGCCCCACTCATGTTCGTTTCTTCCTTATTTCAACTCCTATGTTCTTAACACCAGTTTGTTCCCTGACCCACTCTGCTTTCGTCTTGACCCATCATTTTTTTTTTTCTCTGGCTTGCTGCGTTGTCCACATTGCAAGCTGAGCCCTCTTTGTAAACCTCCAGGTTTCTGCTCCGTAGGAAAGTAACAGTAAGATGCAATCTTTATGTGCCTTTGTCTTGAAAGATAGTTCTAAAATAACCATCTATTACTATAAAATGCCTGCAAAATGCATATCACCCTATTTTTATTCCATTATAGGTATGTTAGTGTCATGGTTCGGCTCTGAACTCACCACCTGTCCTAACTAGACATATTCCTTTACTGCGTGAGGGGCCTTACTGCCCACCAGAAGGTGTTGTCCTCTGAAACTGTTGAACATTAAGCTTCCCGCATGTTCCTTTTCAGACCTACCGTGCCAATTTCCCTGACCAATACAGTAATCATGATTTGCAATTTGTCCCCCCCCCCCCCCATTAGATACCAGATAGTCGCTAGATACCAGATACCCACATGGTTTTATGGAGTTGTAGTGGTACCATTGGTAGCCACATAAATTGATCAGCCACATAAACCCATATCCTGTTGCAGAAGCAGTGTCTCACTGAAGGTCTTCATGTAGAAGAGCGTTCATTAGTCTGGGAATTTACTGGCATTGCTTCAGCGAGTCCAGGAGAGCTGCTTCCAATTTCAAAAACATGAATAGCTCGTCATGAATTAATGAACTTTAAGAGCTTTTTGATACCTTGAAACAAAATTTTGGACGCCTTTTTTTGACTCATGCGAACAAATAAATGCACCATTTGAGACAATTTATTCAACAATAAGTTGCCTCTGGACTTTTATTGCATAAGTCTATAGGCAGTTCAGCCATGAATTTACTTTTTATGGCACAAATTTGGCAACGGGTCAACTAGGTTACCCTCTGTAGCGTTCGCAGTGGTATGTCCAACATTGGCAAACTGCCACTCGCACTGCATCACCAGGCTTACGAGAGATTCTTGAAATTGCACTTGTAACGAAGCAAGCATGCCAGGTGGGGTTAGCTGGGATCGAGGAATCGGCACACTGATGTAATGTTCGTGCCTGCGTGGATGTGGGCGAATGGCCGGCGGCCGCAGTACTGGAAGTCGGCGGCTGGGGCTTCGTCGAACACGTTGAACTGGAACCACTGCTGCGTGACGACCTGCAAAGAGCACCAGGACTAGAAATTGGGGTTATATTGCAATGATCTGATATTTCTGTTCGCTCATACTGGAGCATAAAGCACTGCGCTTGACTTTTTGTCGCCTAATATACAGGCGTCATTCTGGCTCCTTCAGGGGCACCCATGCTTCCACCTCCTCCAGCCTCACTTTTTTTCTGCATACTTGCTCCAGCATTCCACAAATGAAACACATTGTATTTGTTTAACCACAGGTGGCTTAAATTATCCTAGAGCCTCTTTTTTGTTATTAAATAAGTGCAAAAAAAGGGCCATGCAATAAGGTAAACTGGTACTGCCCCTGTTTGACATCATCGTCCTCGCTTACAACACTGTGATGGTTTATGCAACTCACACGAGTTCAAGAATACCAATACGCAACACCAATGTAAAGTGGGGAAAATGCTCTTAGACACATTGTAGAAAACCCGGCGCACATATTAAATGGACACTGTAGAGAAACCATCATGACTTGGTTTAGATTGACAAACTGCACTCTAACAACCCTCATGTCATGTGTTTTGCTGTCATAAGTTCATTATCAGCAAAGGAAATAAAGGTTGGAGTTTTATTTTTTTATTTTCGCACCAGAATCTCTACACGTGATGCCACAAATTTCAAAATGTATGTTTCGTAATTTTTCCGAAGTTTCGTGTGCTAGGTATATGGCACTCCCAAATGACTATATACGTCATATTTATATATTAGAAGCTACGTAGAAACGCGTAGACTCTTCTCAAATCTCTGACATCGGCGTTTGGTGCAGGATTAACAAGGTAGCAACTCCATCCGCATTTCCTTTTTTCGCGCGTTTTTTCGCTTACTAAGCGTCGTGTCGTGATAAGACTAACGTTTCGTGATTGTGAAATTGTTCATTACTAATATGCATAAGCGACCCTTCAAACAAGCTCTCGATCGTGTCTCTGAAATTCCAGCTGCATTATAATGTGACGTCATGTATTTTTGCTCCCGTTGGTAAATGCTGTCACATAATGTAAGCTTCAGCTGAATTTTTTTTTACCGCGAAAAAGAAAAATTTTGGGCTTTTTAAATTTTGCTTTACTCTTCCATAAATACAGCAAAGTCCGTAGCATCGCTTAGAAGTGTGGCAGCTTGGGCTAGTTGGTATGGCATGACGATAGTTATAGCGCGAGAACAAAACGACGACACAGAGACAAGAAGGACGCTCGTGTCTTTCGTGTCCTTCTTGTCTCTGTGTCGTCGTTTTGTTCTCGCGCTATAA